CGGGGGGGGGCCCCCCCCCGGGGGGGGGGTGCGAGAGGACGCCCAGGGGGCCCCCCCCCCCCCCCCCCGTCCACAACAGCAGACCCCTCAGAGGGTGGGAGGGAGGTCCTGCTCACTCCTTACCTCTCTGAACCCTTCCCAAGCCCTTCTAAGTGATCCCCTCCCGTCCGGAAGCCACCTGGTCTGGAAGGCCAGATTTCCACCCACCCTTGCCGAGCTGTTGGCTCCCCACCCCACACAAAACACAGATTCTTGGGTGTCTCGTCCTGAGCGGATGCCCTCACTTCCAGGGAAATGCCCAGCATCCTTCTGGGAGGACGGGGAAGACTGATCCTCTGTCCCCCACTGAGGGCGGAGCCTCAGACCCGAACACACGTGGCTACCGCTCCCAGCACCGTCACCCACCATCCGGCGACGGTGTGAAGCCCCGGGGCAGCTCTTGCTGGGTCTCACCAGGAAGCTCCCGTGCTGGCCCCCGGACAGGAGCAGCTTCTCTGCCTCAACTGCACTGATGTTAGGGTGAAACCATGTGGAACGAGCACCACAAGTGGCCACGCTGCAGAGCTGGGGTGACAACTGAGTGCCCTCTGGGCTCCCAAAGTCCTGGCCCACACGCACCCTGCCCCTTGGGGCCTGTCATGGGCCAGTGCTTATAGCCTGCCATGGGCAATGGCCACCGGCTGGCTCTGAGGGCTGTGGGCAAGGAGTGGGGCCACGGGGTCCCAGGGACAAAGATGAGCAGAAACATCCCTGCGGCTGGTGAGGGGGTGGGGGTGAGTGGGACAGATGCCACCCAGCACCCCCACATAGCCACCATTAGGAACCTCGCCTCGAAGTCTGTGCCTGGTGCCTCTGGCCCTGCCAGGGCATCACAGCTTGGCCAAAGGTACTCGGGGCGCCCCTGTGTCACCCAGGGCCTCCTTCCTGCCCTCAGGGCCCTGGCAGCAGACCCTGTCAGTTCCACCCCTCCTGGTGTGGTGGTGGCCACCGCCTGCCCTCACGGGGCACGTGCTGCAAGCCCAGGGACGCCCCCAACCCCGGCGTTCGTCACTTAGCCCCCAGAACAAGAGCGCCGTCCGCAGGCTCAGTCTGCCATCCGCCCCGACCAGTCTCCCCGCCCCGGGTCCACCCTGTGGGAGCTGCTTTCCGCCCCTGACGCACACTCCCACGGCTGGGAGACCCTCCCTCCTCCTTCATCCCTTCTCCGGCTTTATTTGTCTTCACAGTATCTGTCGCCTCCTTGGCGTGTAGGACGTGTCACCGGCTTACTGTCCATCGCCCACCAGAGGGTTTCAGCTCCGAAGGGCAGAAACTGTTCCGAGTGGTCCAGTGTCCCAGGGACAAAAGCAGTGCCTGGGTATTAACGAATATACTTGAATTAAGCCGTGAATGAACAAGGGGGGCACCTGGGCGGCTCAGCTGATTAAGCCTCCGACTCTGGGCTTCGGCTCAGGTCATGATCTCAGGTTTGTGAGATCGAGCCCCATGTTGGGCTGTGTGCTCAGCGCAGAGTCAGCTTGGGATTCTCTCCCTCCCGCTGCCCATCCCCCAACTTGTGCTCATGCTCTCGGAAACAGATAAAATCTTAAAAAGAAGAAGTGGGGCGCCTGGGTGGCTCAATCATTAAATGTCTGACTTTGGCTCGGGTTACGATTCCAGGGTCCTGCGGGATCGAGCCCCACATTGGGCTCCCTGCTCAGTGGGAAGCCAGCTTCTCCCTTCTCCCTCTCCCCCTGCTTGTGTTCCCTCTTGCTGTGTCTCCCTCTGTCACATAAATAAATAAAATCTTTAGAAGAAGTAGTAATAGTAGTAGCAGTAGTAGTAGTGGTGGTGGTGAATGACTAAGTAAATGGCTGGGGGGTGCACAGGTGGATGGATGGGGCACCCATGAGAGGACGGCCGGGAGCTGCACACAGGCTGAGTCCTGTGGCTGAAGGACCGAAGAGGCAGGCTGCTAAGAGGGACGGCAGCCCTGCGTCTGCCCCCAGCCCTGCCTGCCTGGGCTGGTCCTCCGTCACAGCCTCCCCCGTGAAGTGGGGGACAGCCCCAGGATCCCAGAGGGACTGGCCTGGACGGCCCACTCTCAGGGCTGTGCCTGAGCCCGAGTCCAAGATCCTCACTACCTCCTTCTGGACCCCAGCAGCTTTCGTTCCCCTATTAGGGTAGGAATTTCTGGCCCAGGTTTAAATTGGACCCAAGAGACAGGAGCAAGGGTGATCCTGCCCCACAGAGAACTTTCTAGAGTGGAAATCAGATCCATGTCTAGCGCCAGCCAGGACGCTCTCCAGGTCCTTCTCCTCCTTCAGCCCTCTCTGTGCCCCAGGCCTTCGGTGCCTGTCCTTTGTCCCCCGAGGAGGCATCCGTGCCCACAGGCTATACCCGTGTGTCCAACACAGCAGCCCAGAGCATGCGTGACATGGGAATGTAAATGAATTAAAATTCTACAAAATCAGAGCCTAGTTCCTGGGTCACACTGCCATACTCTCCTGCCAGAGCCACCTGTGGCTGGCAGCCTGCTGACGGGACAGAGAGGAAACATTCCCATCACCACGGAAAGTTCTGGCCTGCGCCGGCCTGCACTGTGTATCCTTGCCCGAATCCCCACAGGTCTGTTTCTCTCCGCCCTCCGGCCCCACAGAGACCTCTAGTCTCAGGGTGCTCACCTGTCTTCGGGGCTTGTGGCCAGGCCTCGGTCCTCAGCAGCATCTGACTGACCCAGGGCCATGCCCCCACTCCGCTGTTCCCCAGAATTCCACGCTCACCTGGCGCCCTGCTTCACCTGGCCAGGGTCCTCTGCCGGGGCCTCCTGTTTTTGACCTCTCGGCGCCAGAGCTGCTCACCTGTGCTGGCGTGTGTCTACTACACGTCCACAGGCCTCCTAGGCCTCTAGCCTCACCTGGGATCTGAGCTTCACACTCACAGATGCTTCTCTTCTTGGCCCCTCCATTAGGGGAGGTAACAACATTTCTATCATAACATTCGCAAAGTGCAAAACTCCTGGCCGTGCTCGGAAAGCCCTGCCCTTCCCCCCGGTCCCCACTGCTCACACGTGGCTGCGGTCAGGAGCTTGCAGTCCCCTCGGCGCCCTCCTTTCCAGCAGCCTCGTGGCCTCCCTTCCAAATGCACCCAGAACCCAGCCCTTTTGCTGGGCACGGCTCACCCTGCCCGCGTTTCCCTGAAGCCCACCGCGGCCCCCACCTTGTGAACGAACAGCCCAGAGACACGTACACGCTTCTGTGCTTGTCGCCCTGTGTCTTCACTGAAGCCAGGCTCAGCTCTGACCTTGATGGCTCCCCAGGGTCCATGGGTTAGTTCAGAGCGGTCTGGAAGCTCAGACAGCCTGACCCAGGGCTACCCAGCCTGAGCAACATGCCTGCACACACTTTCCTCCCGGGGAACCGGGTGACCGCCCTCCAGGACCTTCCTAGGCATGTTCTGAGCCTAGTGCCCGAGCTCTCTCCCGCGCTGGCTAGTTGGGGAGCCAGACCCGGGGGCAACTTTTGGTCAAACAGCCCAGTGGGTAAGCCTGCCCGGGAAGGCCTCCTAGAGCAGGGGATGCCGCAGGGTGATCTCCAGAGCCAGCCACAGGAGAGTAGGCGGGGCCACCAGGAAAAGGGCCATGGCTTCACGCTGTCCTTGGACCAATGACAAGACCTTGTGGGGCGGGGGGAGTGGAACCCAGAACCCTTCCAACCCCTCCACCACAGGCCCCTACTCTGCTGCGGCACGTCCTCCACCCAGGGGCCCTCCCCCGCCCAGCCCCAGTAGCCGCAGATTCCCGCTCGAGATGGGCAATGCCCAGAGCACTGGGCAGCGGTAGAGGGTGGAGGCCCAGAACCAGAGCCGCAGAGAAGGGTGAAGGCACCTGGCTGTCCTTTCAGGGACTCTCAGTCATACTTCCTGCCCCCCTCTCCTCCCCACAAACTGCCACTGGGTCTATCAGGTGGAAATCTCCAGGGTGGGGCCCCGTGAGGCTGCCGCCACTCGCACCACCGCCCTCCTGAATCCCGGGCTGACGCAGGGCCTCACATCCCCCAGCCAGGCCTGACGTGCTGCTGAGTGCGCGGCAGACCAGTGAGGCTTGCTGCCCCTGGCCAAGGGGGTGGCAGGAGGTAGGGAGGCTACAGGTCCTCATCTCCGATCCCTGACCCCCTCTGTGCCAGGGCCCAGGGTCACCTCTGTGCCAGAGAGCTCCCGGCTCTGTGCTGGGTCCGAGACTCAGCTCAGCTTTGGCGACCTGGTCTTGCAGTGCCAGGGAAGGAAGGCAGGTAGGGTGAACGGGGCATACTGGGTTCCCGGCAGGACTCGAGGCCTGGGCCCTTCAAGGCCCAACTAAACCCGGGCCGTGTTCAGGAGCCCAGGAACAGCCCAGGCTACCTAACCAAACCAGCCTGAACCTGTACTGGCCACTGGCTGGCCTAGCTCCCTGTGTGGCCTTGCCCCAACCCTGGGACCCTGGGAGACACAGGAATGGCCTGTCACCACCTACACCGGTGATACTGGGGCTGGACACTCCTGCAGGGCAGACACTGTTGTGATGGGGAATCCGCAGTCCAGTGGGGAAGGGTTCCAGGCCTGAGGACCCCGGAGCACAGACAGTGTCCTTCTCCATCTCCCTGCCCCCAGGCCGCAGGCCCTGACCCTTCTGGTACAAGAGGAAACCAAACCAAGCTCCACCCTGTCTATACAGAACCAAATTAAGCAGAGATATACCTTCCTCTCCGACCCTTGGAATGGCGGGTGAGCCCAAGGGGGCTCTGCATGCCCACCACCCCACCATGGGGCCCAGCCCCCTCCCAGGCATCAGTATCAGGCGTCTGCATCTGGCCCTGCCCCACAGTGCTGGAGGTCCCTGGGTGAGCCGTGCCGATGGACATGCCCATTGACCCACCAACCACAGGGCCACAGGAAGGGGACATGAGGTGGGGGTGGACACGGGGGACAGACCTCACTGTCCAGACCTCAGAGGGATGTGGGCCAGAGGAGTGACAGTCCAGATGGTCAGCACAGGGTGGGGCAGAGAGGGGTTGGCAAGAGCGGTCAGAGCCCCACTTGGGGCTTTCCCAGGCTGGAGCACGGTCACATGCACATGAAAGGGCCTTCTCTGAGCACCAGAACTTGCCTGGGGGAAAATTAAGAGTGAGGCTTAAGGGAGTCTGAGGGTCATTCCAACCAGACCTCAAAACCTACTCCTCCCTGAATTTGGGCTATTATCACAGACAAGTTCCTGAGATCCAACTGATTTCCACTATTTCTGAGCTAAGAAGGCCCATGACCTTGACGGAGGCCACTGTGCCTAGTTGCTTCCTCACGACATTCTTCCTAGGGATCCTGGGACCCTCATCACCGAGGTGCTGCTGGTGGGATATGGGGGGAGGCAGGGGTCTCTGCCTGGGGCTAAGGAACTTGCCCCTTAGGTCCAGAGACACCCTGGGGACCCTGAAAATCAGACCTTGTCCAGCCCCTCGCCTATCTAGGAAGTCGCTCAGGGTCATAGCATGACCCCTCCTGTGACCTCCTGCCTCACCAAGCCCCCAGTGATGTGTCCCACACCTGTATATGAGCCCCCACAGACACCCACATGCATGGTTGAGTCTGAGCTCACACGCATGTGCACACATACCACAGAGCAGGGATCCAGCAGAAAGGGCACGAAGGCCCAGTTCCCAGGCCCTGGCTCAGGGCCCAGTTCCTGTCACACTTCCCACTTTCCCTCTGCATGGAGGCAGGAAGCTGGCTTGATCTGCAGCTGCCTGGGCTCTCAGGTCCCCACCAGGGAGCTTGTCCCCTAAACCTGGCTCTTAAGAGGGTCTGGAGGAAAGATGAGACCATCTAGAGAGGGCTGGTCTTTGTCATTAGGTACGGTCAGGGGACCAAGACTAGAGCAGAGGAGACTAGACCCTGCAGGACCCCTCAGAGCTCCTGCCCTGAGGAGTCCTAGGGAAGCAAGGGTTACCTGCACCTGGCAGAACCCAAATCCAGTGGCCAGAAGGGAGCCTGGAGCAGGGCAAAGAGTCCAGGGGAGGGAGAGTGGGAGGGTCTGACCTTCTCTTGACACCGGCTGCCCATGCTAGGCTCCAACCACTGCCACCCACCACCTGCAGGGCTAATTCTGTTCCCTGGGATCAGGGTACATCTGACCTTCACCCAGGCCATCCCCCACCCCCATTAGAAAGGGTCCCTTTCAACTGCTTGGGTGAGGCCCGCCCTCGTGGGCCTGGGACCCTGGCCTCCTGCCCTGGCGGTGGAGAGAGCTCTGTGCCAGGAGGTCAGGCCCGGGGGCAGGTCTCGGCGCTACCCGTCGGTGCCCGTCGGGCCCGAAGCCCATCTCCAGGGGTCGCGGAGTCCAGCCACCTAGCGGCCCTGGCTCACCTGCACTAGGTCACGTCTGCTCCGCGGTGGGCGCCGGGCCGGTCCAGGCGGCCGCGCCCTCGGGCCACTTCGAGAAGGCCCCGCCCCTAGGGCCCCGCCCACCCAGAGCCCCGTCCCGGGCTCCCTTAAAGGCGCAGTGTCCATACGTCTCCTCCGCGTAGAAGTTGGGATGGAGTCGACAGTGTTCGAGGGCGCGCCAAACTTGAGAACCAGGGGATCCACGCGGGCGTCCCGGGCTCGCAGGGCGATGGCGCGGGGCGGCCGGGACCCGGCGAGCCCCAGCCTGGCCAGCCGCCTGCGCTCAGCGGCGCTTAACCGTGATAAACGCATCAGTCCCACAGCCCCTGAGTCCCAGAGCCCGCAGGCTCCCCCGCCCCCCGCCCCCCCGCATCGCCTCCTTCACGGGAGGGGGCGGGGAGGGGAGGGGCTGCGCTCCCTTCCCGGGGAGGTGGGGGTAGTCTGAGCTAGAGGAGGAGACCCCTGAAGGATGGAGCTGGGAGGATGGGTGGCCGTTCCAATGTGATGACCAGTGGACCACCTCTTACTCTTTCGGCCTTGGGGGGTTTCCCGCCTTTCCTCCCCACCTCTGCCACCCACACTAGACAGTCTCCTCCCTTCCTAAGTGATGCTTTGCTCCAGCTCCAGCTGCCCCTCATCTGCTCGGTTCCTGTCCCACGGGGGCCAAACCACCTTTCACAAGCTCCTTGCTGGGGAGCAGCACCTAATTCATCTGGGCTCCCAACCTTGAAATGCCCTGGTAGGGGCTTCAGGGCCCTCTCCTGTTCAGCTGCTCTCTTACCGCCTCCTCAGGAGCGGTGCACCAAGGCAGGGAAGCTTCTCCAAGCCTGCAGCTTCCCAGCCTGGAGCCCAAATCCCCGCCCAGCGCTGCGGAGAGCGGGTCAGGGCTTCCCCTCCTGCTCAGCGGGGCCACCTCACCTAGCCACCCGTGGGTGCTGAGGCTCAGCGGTGATTGTCCTGAGAGCCCCTCCCTCTGGAAGCGTCAACTCCCAGACACTTCTGGCCCCCACCCCACCTTCCCCTTGACCTCACAGTGTGAGAGCCTCTTCTCCCTGCTCGAGGATCCCAGAACAGCCCACCTGCTCCCTTATGTTCAGCATCCCCTCCATCTGGTGCGACAGGCCTCCTGGTCTCTGTCCAGTCGGCTCTCAGCTCCTCAAGCCCAGCCCCTCCAGGTGCATTAGGGTTGTACCCACCCAGGTGCTCCAGAGCCTTCATCACTGTCCCACCCCCCAGCCCAGCCCAGCCCAGTCCAGGCCCCTCTGCTCCGAAATCCCTCTCTTCTCTTTAGCAGGCTTGGGCCCCAGCACTCTTTCCGACACAGCAGGAACCCTTCTCAGGAAGTCTGACCCACTCTGGCTCAAACCCCTCCAGCTCTTCAGACAGATCCCGCAGGGCTGGACTCCGCGACCCCTGGAGATGGGCTTCGGGCCCGACAGGCACCGACGGGTAGCGCCGAGACCTGCCCTCCTCTAGCTGGTGACAGCGTCCTCCAGCAGCTGCCTGTCTTCGCCTGGTCCTACCACCCTGATGGCCTGTCCTGCACCGGGGACCTCCAGCTGTCTGGGCCAGGCCTGCCTTCCTTTCCACGCAGGGCGCCTTCCGTTCAGCGGCAGGGCCCTTGCACTGATGTAAGGATGTAAGGATACCCTCCTGCCCACCTCAGGCCTTCATACCCTGGCTCCAGCAACTTGCTTACCCTCAGGTCTGGATCTGAGCGCTAGGGTTTCCTGGATCCTCAGGCTGGGCCTGCCCCTTGTGCCCTGCATCACCACCTGTTTGTCCCTCCTCAGCCCCTTGGGGTTTAGGCCCTGCCCCCAGCCCCAGGACCCAACAGCTGACTGGCACAGGGCATCCATTCCACACACATCTCCAACAAACAAGTTAAAAAAGAATGGATGAAAATGTGCAAGCCCAGGGTCTAACAGGTCATCCCCCCACCCCCACCCCGCAGGGGGTGGGTATTTGTTTTCTTATATTCACTTTCTGCTTTTTTTCTGTTAACAAAAAAAAACATAAAAAAAAGAACAGAGTTACCCTTTATAAAAGCCAGGAGTTCCAGAAAGGAAGCCACTCAACTCTCCCTTCTTTCCCTGTTCCTTGTTAGAGGCTCACAGCTGCTGTGGGGCTGGTTGGGCACAGCTCCCGGGTGCCAACCCATCTCAGGGCTTCCTGCTTCGGGTCTCCCAGCAGAGCCAACCGTTGCCCTTCCACCTGGGCAATGAGAAAGGCTGCCTGCCCGGCCCCCATGCACCCTGGCTGGACCCCCAGCCCTCCTACCCTCCACCTACCCTGCCCCCCAAGCCCTCTGACCTCAGTCAGTACAATCTGCCCACTCTTCACAGTCCCCTTCCCATCCTGCACTCACGTACAGATGGAGGAGATGACGTGCAAACAAGCGCATGCGCGCACGGGGCCTACGGACGGCAAGGCCGGTCACCTCCAAGGCCACCTGGTGTGTTGGCCTCCACGGCCCCACCCCACGCCTAACCGGGTGCATGCTGTAAAAAGCGGCCCTACACACCTCAGGGCAAGGCCCTTTTCTTATCCAGAGCACCCTAAGGGAGCTCGGCGCCTGTACTGTGTCACAAACCTGAACAAGGAGCTGCGGGAGGGGAGCCAGCCAGGTGGGCGGTCCCTGAGCTGGGCAGAGCCCAGGGATGGCGTTTGGTGTGGACAGACACCTGCACCTCTTGTAAAGTGTTTAGACTTTATTTACGGTGACGGACACAAACACAGACACAGACTGGAGTTAGTGACATGACATATGGGGCTCCCTCCAGCCTCTGGGCTCCCTCCCTGTGGGAGGGTGAGGGGTGCCACCCCACAGGACGGCAGGGTGTGGGGGGGGAGGGGAAGGTGGAATGGGGCATAATATTGCAGTTTTCTCTGCTGCCTCTACACCCACCCCTTGGCCTTGGCCTTGGCCTTGGATGACACCCCTCGCACCAGAGCCAGAGGGAGAGGGCTCAGCTGCCCTTGGGCCAGGACAGGAAGGATGATGGCCCTGTCACCCCAGGTGTCAACCAAAATCAATGCATAAAGGTTGGTGGTCAGGCCCAGACACGCATCCTTGAGAGGGGGATGCCAGCTCCCCAAGCAAGCAGGCAGCGGACACCGACCACACCATATAGCAGCCCTGCTCCCTCTCAGAACGCCTAATGAGACCTGCGGTGTCAGGGAGGGGACACAGCTAGGTCCAAGCTGGCTGGGGACACAGGCAGGGCTAGCTAAGCGCCCAGGTGCCCTGACCAGGTCTGGGCCTGGCCTCTGTTCTCCAGCACTCTGGGCTTAGTGGACATGATTGAAGGGAGGGGTACAGTAGCCCCAACAGTAATGTAACATTGGTTCTAAGTCACAGTATTGGCACGGGAGGCCTGGGAGGGGCCGGGCTGGGCTCGAGGTTTGCCCTGGCCTACGGCACATGCAGGAGAGACACCTCAAGTGGGGACCCAGGAAGGCCTCCTAGGGCTTGCGGGGAGGAAAGGCCCCCTCAAGCCCCAGCTTGCTTGCCTGCTCTGGGGACACAGGCCCAGCCCAGGTGGACACATGGAGGAGGCAAAGCAAGAGGGGTGAGATGCAGTGGTCCAAGGTGGAGGGGCACAAGGCCTCCATGCTGCCTGTGCCATCTCCCCCTGCAAGTCCCGTGACACAGAGTTTATCTGTAGTTCTCTGCTTGGACGGTAGGGAAGCTGGCCCGGCAGTCCCTCTGGCCAACACATAGGCAAGAAAACCATATCAAAAAATCGATGAGTTTACAAAAATAGAAAATAACGACAACAGGGTGCGTGGTGGGCTACAGTGTGTCTCATGGGGCGGCACAGGGCCGAAGCCCCGGCTTGGTGACAGCGTCCTCCAGCAGCTGCAGCGAGCGCCGACCCACCACCACGTCCCGGAGGCAGCCCACAAAGCCTGTGCTGTAGGCCTTGGGCAGGACCTGGCCCGTGGGCAGCTTCTCCAGGCCACCTGCAGGAAGACGGAAGGCAGGCCACCCAGTTGTGACTTCAGGATGGGCAGTCTGGGCACCAGCCAGCAGAGAGACCCACGGGTACTCAAGAGACCATGAGTTACCCAAGGACTGTCACCACCCTGGGGGGAGGGGGACCCCGTGACCAGGAGACACGCTCCAGCCTCCTGGCCCCACGGTCGCCCAGGGAACTACAAGGCCTAAGACAGGAAGGGACAGGGCCCTAACCTGGCCAGTTGGTCTGCGGACCCGGACGGGCTGACTCAGGTAGCACTCAGTTTGCAGCCCCAGGGGATGAGGCACGTCCCTGATTCTGAGAGCCTTGGGTACCCCTCCCCTGGCCTCCCCTCAGAACACTTACCCAGCCACAGGGCTCCATCTGTGTCTAGCTGCGTGGCACCAAGTGGGGAAGAGCCAGTCACAGGGGCCTCGTTGCCCACCTGAAGGGAACCTTCCCTCTGTTCCCTGGGGGTGTGGTGGGGTGAGGCCATCATCAGCTGGTTCCAGAGGGCACACCTGCCACCCCCAGATACTCAGCCCCACATCCCTCTCTCCTGGAAGTCCCGCCTGGGGGCCAGGATGGGGGGGCACTGATCCCCAGGAGAGTGCCTGGCTAGGGCAGCGGGGTCCTCACACGGGTTACACTTTGCTGTAGGGTGACCAGGCTCAGACCCAATGGACAGCATCTGGGCAGACCAAGCCCTCCCTTCCCAGATCAGGGAGTCCCTGGCCACAAGTGCTTCTCCTTTTCCTCTTGTCCCTCCCTCAGCCCTGGGAGTGGCCTCAAGTCGGGCACTTAGCCCTGCCCCCACCTCAAACCTGGGCCCTGGCTACGAGTGACCGGGCATGCCCGGGCTGGGCAAGTCTAGGCGCCACCCGCCGCCGTTCTTGGCATGGCCCGGGCTTCCCGCTGACCTGTGCGCCCTGACCCGCAACCAGCGGTCGGTGTTGACTGGGACGGTAGAGCGCAGCACCACGGGCTGGGAGCCCAGGTCGTAGGCCAGCTGCAGGCGCCCGTCCACGATGGCCAGTGCGATGTAGTCGGCCCGCTCTGTGGCCTTGCCGCTCCACAGCACCAGCCCCTGTGTGGCCTCCGTGCGTAAGCTCAGCTCGAAGTGGCTGGTCTGCAAGGCCTTCTCGCTGCAAGGGAGAGACTGTCAGGGCCTCCGAGGGCGGCTGGGGATGGGGCGCAGGGGGTGGGAGGGCGAGGGCCATGATGGCAGCTGCAAGGAAGCCCGGAGAGCTGGACAGGCAGGCGGGCGCACACCCGCATGGGACAACAGGTCGAGAGACGGACGGCAGGAGGTGGACCGGACAGGCAGACACACACGCAGAGGAAGGAGGC